TTTTTTGCGTGTGTCTGCACAGATCTGCTGCATCTTCTGAAACTCCCAATGCCAAAGTATCGCCGGCAACTCCTCGTGCGAGCAAGTCCAGCAGCATCAGGGGAGTGTCTAAATCAAACGCTGGCTCAGGCTCACCTTCTCCCCTCCAAAACCCTCGCCTTTCTGTTGATGGCTCACCCAGATCACTTCCCTCCAAGCCTACTGGACGCTCTCCCAAACTCACCACTCCGCCTGAGGTAAGTCTTAGAAAATTCATTACATTTACACGTGTGTTAATTTTTGTTAACCGGGCTTTCTCTTCCCGTTCAGGGGATAGAATAAGTGAAACTTGTACTCGAGAACTGAGCCTTTTCAATTTTTATATTTATGTGTATATATACACATATATTATTGGGGAAAACTGCATCAAGAAGTTCTTTTTCCTGTTGCATTGTTTCGTTAAAAGTGTGTTCCTTCAATCTCTGCCCAGAAAAAAGCAACGGCGACGCGCATTCCGAAACCATCAGGATCAGAGCTTCAGACCGAAATAAATCATGCTCATGAAGATCTGAAGAGGGCAAAAGAACAACTGGCTTCTCTCGAGAAAGAGAAGGAAAAAGCACTCGATGATTTGAAAGAAGCCCAGAGGCTGGCCGAGGCATCAAACGAGAAGCTGAAAGAAGCACTGATGGCCCAAAAACGTGCAGAAGAAAATTCTGAGATTGAAAAGTTCCGTGCAGTCGAGATGGAGCAGGCGAGCATCGAAGCAACTCAGAAGAAGGAAGAGGAATGGCAGAAGGAGCTTGAGACTGTGAGGAACCAGCATGCTGTAGATGTGGCCACCCTTTTAACTGCCACTCAGGAAATTCAGAAGGCAACGCAGGAATTGGCGATGATACGCGACGCAAAGGATCAGGCACTTCGCCATGCGGACGACGTCACGAAAATAGCCGAGGCCCATGCTGAAAAAATCGAGCTTCTTTCCGCCGAGCTGGCTCATTTGAAATCAGCCCTCAACTCCCGTGCCGAGATTGAGGCCAGCGAGAACAATAAATTGGTCACCAAGCTGCAGTTGGAGATAGAGTCCCTGAGATGCGAACTCGAGAAGGTGAAATCACTTGAGGAGACGTTAAAGGAAAAGGAGGTGGCCATGGAGCAGCTCAATGTCGACCTGGAGGCCGCACGAATGGCTGAGTCCTATGCCCGCAGCATAGTGGACGAGCTGCAC